GAACTCGAAATGGCCAACTCCGAGCTCGAAAGGACCACAGCCAGACTTGCAGAGATCGAAGCTCGCAATGAGCAAATGCGCGTCGAACTTGCGCAGTCTGCAAGCCAATCATCCGGCAGAAGCACTGCTGTTGAAGACGAGCCAGCTTACCTCCGTCTGCGCTCTGAGAACTCGTCACTTCTTCGCCGCATTGACAACGCCCGCTATGACAAAGAGTCCGAAACAAGTGCACTCGAAAGCAAACTCCGCGGCATCGAGCGGGAGGTTGGCGCATTGAAAGCGGACCGTGAGTCTCTACAAGCTCGGGTACAGAAATGGAGCGATTACGATGAAGTCAAACGGGAGCTAGAGATGCTGCGCTCCATCGAATTTGCTGCAGTCGACGAAGCAGATCTGGAGCCCACAGAGGCGCCATCTGCGAATGGCAATGCCGACAAATCAAAGGGCGAAACGCTGGAGCAACTTCTCATCGCACGAAACAAGAAATTGAGCAATGAGTTGACAGACCTCCGCGTCTCGAACAATGAGCTGCAAAAGCGGCTTGAAGAACTGCAGGAGGACTTCTCGACGGCAAACGCCGATCTTGAGAAAGCACAGAATCTCAATGCTTCGCTTGAGAATGACCTGCAGCGGACGCAACAAGAGGCCTCAAACGCGTTTGAGACAATGTCCGTCGCAGGCACCTACACATCACGATTCCCCAAATCAGCGTACGGCAGCAGGCGAGGCGGTGCCACATCGCCAACCTCTTCCATCATAGGAGGATTCGATCCATCCTCAGGCTCAGGCCCATCACTCCGACCAGGCGAAGGCGTAGGTGGCGGCTCGGGCATTCTTCCCATGGTAACAGCACAGCGTGACCGCTTCAAGAAGAAGATCGGAGAGCTCGAGCAAGAGCTGCAAAAGCAATACCAGACGGTCAGCACCCTGCGCTCCGAAGTCTCAAGCCTGCAAAAGGACAACCTCAACCTCTACGAGAAAACACGCTACGTCTCGACCTACAACCGCGGCGCCCAGCCTTCGACATCGGGAAGCGCCTACGGCTCCAACCCCAACCCGTCCACCATCCAAGTCTCCTCAGACAACACTTCCTCAGGCCTATCACTAGACCGCTACCGCTCGACGTACGAAAGCAACATCTCCCCCTTCGCCGCTTTCCGCGGCCGCGAGAGCGCACGAGCCTTGAAACGCATGAGCTTGCCCGAGCGGCTTGTCTTCCAGATCACGCGCCTTGTGCTGCAGACGCGGACGAGCAGGAACTTGTTTGCGATGTATTGCCTGGCGCTGCACTTGCTCGTCTTCACCATGCTGTATTGGATGGGCTCTGCGGATATCGAGCAGCATGCGAGCAATCTCGGAGCTGGAGCGGGCGCGGGCGCTGCTGCTCTTGCTGGCGCTGGAGCTGGCACTGGTGGGACGGCGGCGCATGGTGACTGGACGCACGATGATTTTGATCAGGCGACGTAGTGATTTAATCTGGGTGTTGATTATATGTACAACTACTACTATCACAGAGTCTTTCGATGCGGGACGTTGTTCGATTTTGGTTTGATGGCAGAGCTGTTGCTTGAAACGATAGTTGCAGAGTGAATACAGCTGATTGACATTGCGACTGCGCCAATAGCGTTGAACATCACAGGTTTATCGTCTTCTCCGTTGACGCCGAAGAATGAAACGATGTACAAATGCAGAATCGATCGTTCCGCCATGCTATCTTGCTCAGTCTGCCGAGCAAGAGTGCAATTTGGCAAAGGAAATCAATTGACAAACCAGCGACCAGATACACACCGACGAAGGCAGACCGCCAAATGTCTCCAAGAAGCGACTCGATAGAAAAAAAACCTGCTGTCAGCGTCAATGCGAACCGCCAAAGACAAGACAAGTATACATGTATATACTATCTAGGAAGTCCTAGGAGATGCTGTACAGCAAATCCAAAGCTCACACGACACGTCCACCCATATCCACTTTAACAAAACAGCGGCTAAAGCAACAAAACACGCGACAACTCTTCGCGAATCGGGCCTGGCCGCTCTACGACAAAGCCGATTGGATGCAAACAATATGCAAGTCATTCGGTCGGACCGTCGTCTGGAAGCGCTGGCGTGGACCTTCTTCTCGACGCTTGTGAGCCTGTCGTTAGCCGCTGACGGCCTGAAAGTGGGGCTGGAGGCTGAGAGGGTTTGGCTGGTGGGAGGCTGGGGGTATTTTGGGAATACCTGCCTGATTGACTTTCAGCACTGCTGTGTTATTGTGGTGTTGATGGAGTACAATTCTTTGGTTGTGGCTGGGTGTTGGACGAAGAATGGTGTTGCCGTCGCTGACTGGAGACTTTTTCGATCACTTTCCGAGACCGTCACCAGATTTTCGACTTTAATCCGGCCTCGTACAAATCACTCAAGGCTACTATCGTTGTAGTACAATCTTTCTCCATCACGAGCAAAAAATACATACACGGATCGCCAAAGCAGGTTTAGTTAAGCATCCGATTGAAACACTAGTACCAGAGCCGCCCGAAGGCCATCCTACCGTCCATCCTGCCGCCCAGCCTGCCGTGTTATACAGCCAATCAACCACTCGACCGGTATACCTCTTCAACTTTAACGCCGTCCTACGCGCCGGGCGGCAAGCCGCATTGCATCGAACAAGGGTCACCAAGCCGCACGTCGTACAGCTTCAAGCCATGTATATAGCAGGGCAGAACACGGCGCTTGACGGGGCAGGAAACATAGCCTCGTCTTTTTCTGTCTTGTCTCATCTTGCTCGTCCTCCTCCTCTCGATCGTCTCGTTTGATACCCATCTCTCACGCTTGTTTGATCAAAGCATTGTCGAAACAGTCCATCGATCATCGCTTGGGAAGGAAGACAGACAATCGATACCACAGCTTCGCTGCTTTACCATCACATCAACATGAAGTTCCTACTTCACACGGCTTTGCTGGCCACGGTCACGATCGCCGCACCAACTGCACACTGGGGACAGGAATCTGAAGCCCATGGCGGACGAGGAGCATACAATGGTTGGGACGAATCTTCAAAAGCAGCCTCATACGCCGACTTTGGCCGAGCATGGCACCATGGTCGAGGATCGAAGCGAGGATCATGCGATCTCAAGAATGCAGTGATGCCAGCAGGTAAGACAACATCCACA